AAATTAGTGTGTAGAATGTTCACCCCTGCAGTCGTAATGGAATAATCTTCCCAGGGCAGTTCCTAACCATGTGAAAATTCTGTGTGTGACCAAAACACTGTAAACAGCAGTGACATTTGGTTTGTTTTGATATTATTTAGCAATTCGTTTATTGATTGAGTTTTTGTTAGCTCAAAGTTGCTGAGGAAGGACAAGGCCTAAGGAAAAACAAGCAAGTTTTTCAGAAGTTATCAAGGAGGTATGGAGGTTTTTCTTCCAACGTTCATCAACACGACTAAGCCTAGGCTAGGGCCAGGCAGGCCTATCTATATACCTAGTCCTAGACCTACCTAGGCTAGGCCTTTATTTAGTTAGGATGGGTAGCCTTGTTGGCATAGGATAGATACTTTACTAGGCTAGGCCTATCTACAGGCCTAGGGCTAGTTTAAACCATGACTAGGTCATAGGCCTAGCTAGGACTTTTAAGCTGTGTCTCGGCATGTTATACATTTAACTTTGTTGCGATTTTTTCAGAGATACGTACAATAGTTTAGACAGTACAACCTTAACATAGCCTAGCCTAGGCCTATAGTTCTAGGCCCTAATAATTATACCAAGGACTAGAGATATAACTCCTTGATTATAACATAGGCCTACATAAGCTTGTAGATCTAACCATAGAGCATGGCCTATAGACCTACTACTTGGTGGGTGTGTTCACAAATTTTTGATTATTTTATTAATTGTGGTTTTCATTGTAATATTTTTATCACACTCAATGGTGCATATTAATAACAAATTTATTGATATTGTATTACACCTTTTTAATTAAATTGTAATATTAGTTGTTTATTAATTAATTTTATTTATTTATATTATTTATGTCAGTTGATATGTCCGAGACGAACTTGTTCTTAGAATTATTTTATCAGAACTTTAAAACTATTTTCTGCAAAGCAATGGTTCTATTTTTATATTTCATATCTCGCATTGTAGGCCTCCCCTTGGAAATAGAACTTCTAAACATTTCTTTTATGATGCAATTCTTGTATTTTCAATTTTATTTTTATTATTTAATTAACTTTTGACAATGTTTTAATGAATTTGTTGATGATTTTGTATATATATGCTAATTAATGTTCATTGGCGTCGGAGACGTTGATTTATTTCACATTTGTCAATCTTGTTCGAGCGTATTTTTGCTCTCTCTGTTACTTTGTCAGTTTTAATATTTGGGCTAAAAAATGAATGTAATGAAACTGGCCACCCTTTCCATATTTATATTCATTTATCTATTTGTAAACAAACCAACAGCGAAGACAAGAATCGCCACTTGTACAGGATTGCTAAAAATATAAAACAGTGTATACTGGTTACGAGATACAAAGATAATTAAAAATGATTGCACTTACTTTGCCGAAAGAGATTACGAGTACCGACTATAATGTAATAACAGAGTAATAAATATTTTTAACTAAAAATTAAATAAATTACTCAGAAATATAACCAGAGACAAGCCTCTAGATCTAAAAAACTGAAAAATAAATTCCTAAAAATATCCACTTCTGGACAAACGTTAGGAAAATCATTATATACAAGGGCGTCAGAAGCAGTCCAGATATGGCCGGACCAATAATTTACAACTCAATATCGTTTGTAAACCAAAAATACTATTTTCTCTGACGCATTTAAACGTAACTTGCACATTCAGCTTATTAAAAATATGAAATTGAAATGATTTCATTTTTTACTGTAGTTAATTATCAATAGATTAGGCCTATTTATCATGATTTGATTCACCACGTAAATAATATTCCGGCCCCAAAGTCTAGACTCAGAAATACCAGGATGGTGCCCGACGGGGAATTTTATTTTATTTTGTTTTATTTCAACATTTAAAAAGGTAGTCATTCCAACTTCCCCGAAGGGAGGCTGATGTTCAGGCTGGGGTCACTCTAAGTTAACATATTTTTTTGTTTAGCCAATTTGCTAAAGTCAACCATTTTTTTTTTTTTTTTAGCCAATTGAAGCAGTCTTTAGCCAAAATTTGATGAAAATTGTTAAAAATAATTTTAGCCAAAACTTGCTGACAGGACATGGTGTCCAACATGTTCGTCAGTGGAGTTCGAACCATATAAATATAATTACAATGATAAGAAAAAAAGGAAGGATTTTCAAAGCAGCACCGATATTTCTAAATGCTGCACTTTGCTGTTAATTTATCTATATCCAGAAAGCTATGAAGTATCAGTCAAAGGCCTAGTATCTTAAGTTATAATTAAAAATACAAATTGAATCCTCCAATAAAAGAGAAAAACTTGTCCAAGGAGTCCTGTGCTATGCAAACATGCCCCATTGTGCTTTACAAATCAATTAATTGTACAACTAAGAAGATTTTTAAGATAAAAAATTAAATTTATATTGTATATTTGATTGTTTTAATATATACACTAAATCAAAACGTTCAAATGTTTTACAATTACAATTCAATGAAAAATAAATGAATAATCATACAGTAATAATGATAATAATAACTTACTAATAATAAACAGAAGTGTGGAGAATGCTGCTATTTATTGTTTAGATTACAATTTACAAAGAATAGGCCAGGCAATTTGTATCGGTTTGAAGAAGACCATATTTTATTTATTTCATAAATTATAGTTTATAATATTAATATCCTAAGTCATCATAGGCCTAGGCTAGATACAAGCAACTTACATGTTATTAATATTATTATTTATCATTCATTCATTTACAGGCGAAATTAACATGTTATCATCGACGATTCACATTGCAACCTACCCTGTCTGCACAACGTTTCTCTAGTCTGCAGTGTTTTACTTGAAGAGTATGCCTAAAATAGAGAGACGGGCCTGCCTTAACTAGAGGCTAGACTAGGCCTCTCTAGGTTAAATAGAGAGGCCTGCTAGCGACTATACATAGGGCCTAGGCATAGATGATAGACTTTCAGAACAAAAATATAATCGTAACGAAAATAAAGATTCGTCCTCACTTTATCTTCTGAAAATAATACATGCATTGATTAATTTACTTCCAAAGTTAGGTAAATATGATTTGTGCTTCATCTCGAGGGACCTACTGTTTGATTGAAAAAAAAGTAAATAAATAAATAAAATTTGATTTTGGGCGAAGTTAACGGATACAATTGATAAAAATGCAGCTGGGCGGATGTGGGGAGAGGGGCCTGCAGATGGTGCAATCGCACCCACTAAATTGTATTAGGAAAAATATTTGTTATAATGGTGATAGTGAATGAATTACCGGTCAGATTATATCAGGTAGACAGTGCAATTTCTGGGCATATTCTCAAAATGTTTGCACCTCAGCCCCAACCACAGCATTTTGCTATAAAATGATGGCAGTATGCTAATTAAATAAAACATGTGTTATATATACACAGGGTACTGTATGCTTATTTCTCCATGAATAAATAAAGTGCGAGAAACACAAAAATAATTACATTATATAATGCAATATGAATAACAAGGAATGTGCACATATTATATTTATACGAGTTGACGGATGTTGTGAAATACATATAAAAAGATGTGGCCTAATTAAATTAAACATGTGTTATGAATACACAGGGTACAATATGCTGTGCGTTATTTATCAAACCTATTAAATGTCTTTCGACAGACAAACAGACTGCTGGTATATTATTATTATTATTATAATTATTATTATTATCTAGTAAACTTTTGGTTTATTAATAGCAGGAGGACCATGTATCATATGTAGGTATTCTCATCATATGGACAGATCTACCAGGTGATAAATACTCATTAGAGCAATAAGAATAGGGGAATTAACTTTGGGTAGAGGGGACTTACATTTCTTCAGGGGTTCAACTCAGGCCCTATAATAAGTATGTTAACTTATGGAATCTCATGGTGACGAATATATAATGATAAGGCATGAAGGGTTATTGATATATTTAGTACAAGTATGAATGATTAATATAATAGAATAGTACTGTACTACAAAGACAAAACTAATAATAAGAAGTCAAGCAATATTTGGCTGGACCAATAAAAATAGCTTCCAACAGGTGCCTGATATTGACGATATACGATTAACAAATGCATTTTTGCAAATATTAACTTTGGAAAAGGAAACATCGAAAACACTAATATTTACAAAGTCTGCGATTAGGAACTTTAAATATAAAGAAAGAATTTAAATTATAGTTTTTTTTTAATACTTTTAAAAAGAAATATTAAGCTAATGTATTTTCTTCTGGCAAAGAGATTGGATTTCAGATTAATATCGTTAAGAAAATTAAGTTGGTCAGTAGGTTCAGGACTGATGTAGCGCAAGACTTCAGAATGCATTATTAACTCCAGCATTAAATAAGCATAAGCTAGATTATTTTTAGGCTATGTTCAGACTTGGAGTTAAGCCCAGCTCAAGATTAACTTTGCCAGGTGTTTAGACTAGCTGGATTAGACAGGCGCGAGAACCGAAAGTTAAATTTGCGTACTTATAAACCGGAAACAGGAAATGATTTCCAAAACATTGCGCACAAAACGTACGTTCGCTTACAGCTCGCCAGCCACTACGTCATTGAATGCTGGTTGGTCAATTATTGATACACCGAAGTGATTAAAGCCAGGCCTAGTATCTATAGGGACAACGCCCGGCTTGAAAGGCACCTAGTTCAGACTGGAAGGTGGATAAGCTCAATGAGTTGAGTTTATCCACCTAGTTTGAACTATACCAGAGTCCATGAAAATCATGCAGCTTGCTATTAATTACATTTTGTTTCTTCATAATTTAACTTTGGTTTTACAGGAAATCAGTGATGGACAGCAAGGAAACAGCTGACGAGTTTAAGGGAAAATTAGAGATGATGTTCAGTGGTGCATTTTCATGTCTCAAAATTATGACTGGCCTTGAGGTGGGACTTTTTGAGGTTTTGTCACAATTCACAGAACCTAAGTCATATGTCGAGATTGCAGATGCAGGAAAGCTGAAACCAAGGTACAACCAGGTACTATAGTGATATTTGGGGTTGGGTGTTGGGGTCTTAGGCGTTCGTTAGTTAATATTGCTAGGAACAATGTGTAGTACAGTACCTGTATGATTAATAATTGTTTAGATAATTGAATAATATTTTTTTACAATTTCTCAAAGCTCGGTTGCAAAGAATGGAAGAACTGCAAAATTCTTCCTCTATCAAATGTGGCACAGACTATTTTAGGGCAGGGGCTCAGACCAGGGTACATGCTGTACTGAAGGGCTGCCAAAAGTAACCCTGTACAAAAAGTATTAGGCTACTATGCTAAAGACTGATAAAGATTTTTTTTTTTGATGTGTATGTGGGGGAGGTGGGAGGGTGTGGGTGTAGTTTACAATTAAGATTTACAACAAGCTCAGAACAAATTACCTCAGAAATTGAAAGGGGCGCCATTTTACTTCTTGCCCTGGGCTCCAAAAACTCCAATTTACGCCACTGGAAATAATTACTCAAATTACATAGTGTTGAAACATACACTATGGAAATTACTGAAATGCCACAGGTTTTGGAAGGCTTGTGTTTGAAAACAGTAGCAAAATATGTCTTAAATATTAGCTGCAGTATTTTATATGAAATCAAGCAATATTTTCACCTTTATATTTTTTTTTATTTCCCTTTATAAGAATTTTTTTTTTCCATAAGTATGACATTACTGATAGGCTTGCTTATCATTTTGGTATTTCACCATACCATAAATTATAAATTCAATGACCTTTTGTTAATTCTACTTATATGAAAAGGATTGCACTCATGAATATTAATGTAAATATTGATCACAACATCATCAAACCATTAAGGAATTTTAAAAATAAAGGAATCTTTTGTAGAATTATTATAAACCCAATTAAATTTAATTATTAATTGTTAAAAAATATTATATTATTATTAAGAATTTCATATATTAACAATATTTAATTTGTTTATTGCAGTCAAAAAAGTGTAAAAAAAAAATTTGAAAATTCATATACCACCCATAAAATGGACTAACAGTTCTTAGTAGCATCAATAGACCTTTCCAGAGTGTCAATTAAACTTATCAACTGACTAATCAGAACAGCGCTAGGGATACGCGCGCGTCTTACAAACACACGTGTTGTCCTACAAACGCACGTGTTCGCGTATGTTTTAACACTGCCGTCTTGTGGGACCTTAGCAACAATATCCAAGGGGCGGGGCTTAGCGGAAAGGTCCATTGTAGGAGTAGGTGATGTCTTAAGTCTCATAGATCTGCAAAAGTATGTTTTAATTATTATTGATAACACCAAGGTTGCTATATATATCTACTGAGATAATACCTTAATCAACTGAGAATAGACACAAAATATTCCATGTTGTAATTAAACTATTGTTCACAACACGTACTGTTGTTGAAATTTTAGACCGTATCTTCCTTACGTGACCTGAATTGATGTAGATTTCAAGTCATTTTCCACTCAGTGTACTGAGGAAGACCGTAGTACCGTATACTTATACGGTCGAAAATTTCATGGTAGGAAAGTTTTTGTGTGCTGAGATCAAAAGTTTAAACTTTCATTACATTTGTACACCAACAGAATAGCTATTTTTTTAATATTCCATGTTTTTTATTATTTTTTTCCGGTTAAACAGGTGTCAGTCCTGAGCAATATATTGACTTTGCAAGTCATATGTCTAAGGTGTCTGCCCTGTCGGTCGACCACCATCTCATTACATATATTGAGCAAATTGATGGCCTAACTGATATGCTTGGTAAATATTAAATATTTCTTGTTATTTTTAATCACAATATACAGTAAAAAGTGCAATGTATTCTATAAAAGATACATAAAACAGCGTAAAGCAAATATTAAAGTATATAGAAGCAGTTTGGTGCAGCAGGAACAGTTTGGCTTACCGATGTTGAGATGGGGTTTCAATCCCTTGTGCACTGTATTTGTGTCCTATAACCTGGGTTTTTTTTCAATAGCAAATATATAACTGTCTTACTTGTAGGTGGCAATTCCCTTGCACAAAGACAAACATACATAAACGATGCTTTACACAAACTAAATCTCAATGTGATGTTTAGGGAGTGGAGTTGTTTTAGTCAGAAAAAAATCCTGCAACACTGACAGGAATTGAACCCAAGACCCTGGGATTGGAAGGCAAGCATCTTACCACCAAGCCATTCAACTCCACCTGGAAAGGTGCTCTATAAATAGACCACCGTAAAACCTCAAATAGAAACCCAATGGGCCTTAATATCCAGAAGAAGCCCATCTCAAAGTTGAACCCCCTCTTTAGTTTACAAAAGTAGCCTAAAAAAAGAAGCCTACCTCGAAAAGAAGCCTATTTTCAAGACACCATGGGTTTCTTTTCAAGACAGTACATACGCTATACGTGAATTTCAAAGAAACAAAATAAATTTAAAATGTGCTTGGTTTACATTGTAGTTTTGTTGATTTAATGCTGGTTTATACACTCCATGATGTAGACTGATATTACAATGGCCCTATTTATTGTTTATGGTAGTAATTCCCATAATTCCCAAAATTTACAACATTTGTTTTCAAAAGAAGCCCCCCCCCCCTTCACCTCTCTTTACCTTGGAAAAGCCCAGGACTTCTATTCAAAGTTTTACTCTATAATAAATAAATATATAAAACATACTTTGGGAACGTAATCACAAAATCAATCAGTCCAGCAGTTTGCTACAGGATACTTGAGTGGAGACTTTTCCTCTCAAAGTAGTGTGACAGAAAAAACAAAGGCGATGGCGATAATGGTGGCAGCAATATCTACAGTATGATGATGAATTGATCAGGAAACTATGCCCCTAATTTTAAAATATAATAAATTTAAAGAATATAATATATTCAGTTAAACAATGTAAAAGACATTGTTTAACTGAACATTGTTGAGACAAAGAATTAAATCATATTCAGGTTGATGACATAATGAGAGAAGTGTGTATAATAACAGAAGTTGTGTTTACACGTTTACAATTTCGTTCTTAGATGCTGGTGCTAAAGTTCTTGATTTGGCTTGCGGGACTGGACACACTACGATTGTCATGGCAGAACGCTTTCCTAAATCCACGTTCATTGGTGGAGACTTTATGCCGAAGCAGCTCGATGTTGGCCGGGAAATGATGAAAGAGCGCCATCTATCAAACGTCACATTGCAGCAACTAGATGTTGAGAACTTGCCAATGGAATGGACAGCAAGTTTTGATTTTATACTGTGCCACTATGCCGTCCACGACTTAGGAAATCCGGAAAAGGGGCTGCAAGAATTCCACAGGGTTCTCAAAGCCAGTGGTTTTGGGTTGATTGTTGATGTCAACCTCCATAGCAAACACTCCGATAACAAACAGAACCATTTTTCCAACATAGAGTATGGATTTAGTGAGTCACACTGCCTGCCAGCCTCACTTTGGTTTGAAGGTGGCTGGGGCTTAGGAGTTGGATGGGGTGTAGAATATGCTACAGATTTTATTGGGTCTTGTGGGTTTGAGGTAAAAATGATTGAAAATGGCCATACTGTATCATATATTATCAGGAAAAGAAATCACTAAATAGAACATATTTATGTGAATAGTTATTTTTAATATTTTATTATAATATCATACAATGATAATCATTAACTGTAAACATTAATATGGTTTATAGTACAGGTAGTTTTATTGTAATTCATGCTATGTTTAGTTTTAAAAGTAATTTCTTCTAGTTGTTTGATGGTGTTGCTGGTGATGATGTTGGTAGTTGTGGTTCTGGTGTAGTTTCTGTTGCTATTCCTTTTTTGTTATTGTTGATGTTGTTTTTAGTTGGAGGGATTTTTTTGTTGGTACTGCTATTCTTGTTCTTGTTATACAGTATTTGAAGTTGCTGTTGTTTGTGGTGGTGCTTTTGTTGCTGCTGCAAATGTTGTAGTTGATGATGTTTTTGCAATATGACAAGGCTTCCATTAAGATTTTATAGAGTACTACAACAATTACTGTTACTGTAATTTAATTTTATCTTGTCAGTTTGCTCTCGAACAAGAATTCTAAAATACCACTACCAGTCTTTTCTTCAAACTACATAACTTTACGCCATTAGTTTATGTTTTTCATCTGATTGGTCTTTTAGCAATTATGCAAACACCTTGAATTTAAGTTAATCATTTTTTTATTTACATTTAAAAATTTGTTTCAGGAAATATAGGAGTTTCTAGGCAAAATAAAAATACTCAGACTTTCCTTAAATAAGCATTGTATAACAGTAGTGTCGTGATTGTTTTGAAATGTGACAAATTACATTTTTTTCAGGCTTAATACCAATGTTTTCAAGTTTAGTCGGTCCATGGACTTTTGCTTAAGACATACATCAGTTAACTGCAGACTTGCCATCCCAAAATTATCGTACTGTGTTGTTAAATGTTAAACTGAATAATTAGCATAAAAATATGGCAGTATTGTATACTTTAGTACAGAGAAGCTGTAATACTTTACTCATATATTTGGCAATAGAAAATCATTCCAATAAAATATGACCTATCATTTTAAATATCAATTTCATTTTTTTTTGTCCCTGATCCTGGTTATTGGCATGGCAAGCCTCACTCCAAACCATTTGACTTAGTCAATCATAACAAAGTCAGTAATCTATAATTGATCTAAAATTTACTCTGTCGTTTGTTCTCTGGATTTATACCTTTTTTGCATGACAGAAGAAGATAAATATAAGGGTATAACTTATAATGGTAAAACCCTACATGGTGGTAGATACACAGATGGAACTAAACTAGGTATTCTTTTATTTGTTATCCATAAACAAAAATAAAATAACCCAGGTCATGTGCAACAAACTTTAAGCTTGGCTTGCATTAGACATTTTTTTTTTTTACAAAGACAAAGCATAAAATCCAGGGGTGGTGCCAGGATTTGCCTGACGGAGGGGCCGAGATCGCCGATTTGGGGGGGGGTTGGGTGACCGATGTCCCGATGAGGGGGGCGGATGCCCCGATGAGGGTTCAAATTTCGTAGACGAAAGCAAATTTGGCGTGCTCGAGCTTCGATTAAAAGTTTCGAAAGCTGTCCAGGGGGGCGAAGCTCTCGAAAATTTTGACAATTTAGGAATTTCAAAGGCTTATTTAATCGACTTTAGAGTCTATTAAGATGTAGAAAATACATATACTTCTTTTTTCTCCCCGACAAATTGTGCTGGCGCCACCCCTGATAAAATCTACCCTTGGTCAAATCGTACAGCTGTTTGGACTAAATATGTTTTAGGACTGCAGAATGGTGGTTTTTAATTGGAGGAATCCCTAATTATAGGGAGACCTGTACAACTAATTATAATAAGCACAAAACATTAGCAACACAATTTAATGTACAATTCGAATATGTGGGTAGTATTCATTTAATAATTATACGTTTTTTTTTAATTGTTAAATAATAGCTTGTTTTATCCTATGATGATGTTTCTCTTGTATTCATACTTTTTCTTTGTATATTGTTGCTGTAAATTAATAAAAGTTAAAACTTTAATAATTCAGTAATATTCGTTGCTGCACAACTTTTTATTATTGTTTTTATATCGCTAAATATTAGG